CTCTGTGCTGTGCATGGCTCCGCACGTGAATATATGAAGCAACGTTACATCAGATTTTCTTGCAGCATTTTTCATGTAAACAGGATCGAAAACTTTTTTCTCTCCTGTTGAGTGTTAACTGATTGAATGTTTACAGTGTGACTATTGGAAGCAATCTTACACCGCAAGGGTTAACTGAATATTGTGAACAGTCTGGCACTGCGGGGGTTACGCTGTAGGGTGTGCCCTGTTAGCAAGCTGAGGAAGGATGTGCTTGTCACTAGTCCCCAGCCCCGGGATCCTTCCTGTCCCGGCTGGATATGAGACTGTAAAACCCTCCCACAGTCACTACTGTATGTTAGCCGGACTAGCGGGCGTGCGAGCCAAGGCGCCATTTATACAGCTCTTTCCAATTACAGCACACAGCATGACATCATTGGTTCACAGTGCCCGGCTCTGCCGCCAACTGGGCCCTGGCCAGGCCTGTGGGATATGGGAGGGTATTCAGCAGCAGCAACTATTTAATACCCTGTCTGGGCTGTAAAATGTCAATAAAGACTGGGTGCAAACTCGCGTTCTAAACTCCTGCCAGAATCTTCACCTCCGTCAATAGTGCACAAACATTGACTGTAATCCGTGGTAGAGTGTGCCCTCTGCTGCCCAGTCCGTATGGAAGGGGGCGCCCAGGAGGTATATACTGGCCCCTTCACCTTACTAGCCTGAGGCATGGTTATGGGAAGAACCCAAAACTTTGGTATTTTCTGTCCTTGAATAAACTTGTATGTAGCACTTGGTATGCACATTTACAAGCGTTGCCCTCATTTTTTCTTGCCCCCTTGCCAGGTGTAAAGAGTTTATATCAATGATTGACAGGGAGCTAAGATGGAGGCCGCTCTCTCTATACTGACTGCCAGGTGTAAAGGGCGGAGCTTATAACAATGATTGACAGGGAGCTAAGATGGAGGTGGCTCTCTATGCTGACTGCCAGGTGTAAAGGGTGGAGCTTATAACAATGATTGACAGAGAGCTAAGATGGAGGCGGCTCTCTCTATACTGACTGCCAGGTGTAAAGGGCGGAGCTTATAACAATGATTGACAGGGAGCTAAGATGGAGGTGGCTCTCTATACTGACTGCCAGGTGTAAAGGGCGGGGCTTATAACAATGATTGACAAGGAGCTAAGATGGAGGTGGCTCTCTCTATACTGACTGCCAGGTGTAAAGGGCGGAGCTTATAACAATGATTGACAGGGAGCTAAGATGGAGGTGGCTCTCTCTATACTGACTGCCAGGTGTAAAGGGCGGAGCTTATAGCAATGATTGACAGGGAGCTAAGATGGAGGTGGCTCTCTCTATACTGACTGCCAGGTGTAAAGGGCTGAGCTTATAACAATGATTGACAGGGAGCTAAGATGGAGGTGGCTCTCTCTATACTGACTGCCAGGTGTAAAGGGCGGAGCTTATAACAATGATTGACAGGGAGCTAAGATGGAGGCGGCGCTCTCTATACTGACTGCCAGGTGTAAAGGGCGGAGCTTATAACAATGATTGACAGGGAGCTAAGATGGAGGGGGCGCTCTCTATACTGACTGCCAGGTGTAAAGGGCGGAGCTTATAACAATGATTGACAGGGAGCTAAGATGGAGGTGGCTCTCTATACTGACTGCCAGGTGTAAAGGGCGGGGCTTATAACAATGATTGACAAGGAGCTGTTGGAGGTGCCTTCTATACTGACTGCCAGGTGTAAAGGGCGGAGCTATAACAATGATTGACAGGGGAGCTAAGATGGAGGTGGCTCTTCATACCGACTGCCAGGTGTAAAGGGCTTGAGCTTATAACAATGATTGACAGAGCTAAGATGGAGGTGGCCTTCTCATGACTGCCACGGTAAAGCGGGGCTTGAGCTATAACAATGATTGACAGGGAGCTATGATGAGGCCGCCTCTATACCGACTGCCAGGTGTAAAGGGCGGAGCTTATAACAATGATTGACAGGGAGCTAAGATGGAGGCGGCTCTCCCTATACTGACTGCCAGGTGTAAAGGGCGGAGCTTATAACAATGATTGACAGGGAGCTAAGATGGAGGCGGCTCTCTCTATACTGACTGCCACGTGTAAAGGGCGGAGCTTATAACAATGATTGACAGGGAGCTAAGATGGAGGTTGCTCTCTATACTGACTGCCAGGTGTAAAGGGCGGAGCTTATAACAATGATTGACAGGGAGCTAAGATGGAGGCGGCTCTCTATACCACTGCCAGGTGTAAAGTGCTGAGCTTATAACAATGATTGACAGGGAGCCAAGATGAGGCTGCTCTCTATACTGACTGCCAGGTGTAAAGGGCGGAGCTTATAACAATGATTGACAGGAGCTAAGATGGAGGCGGCTCTCTCTATACTGACTGCCAGGTGTAAAGGGCGGAGCTTATAACAATGATTGACAGGGAGCTAAGATGGAGGCGGCTCTCTCTATACTGACTGCCAGGTGTAATGGGCGGAGCTTATAACAATGATTGACAGGGAGCTAAGATGGAGGCGGCTCTCTCTATATTGACTGCCAGGTGTAAAGGGCGGAGCTTATAACAATGATTGACAGGGAGCTAAGATGAAGGTGGCTCTCTCTATACTGACTGCCAGGTGTAAAGGGCGGAGCTTATAACAATGATTGACAGGGAGCTAAGATGGAGGCGGCTCTCTCTATACTGACTGCCAGGTGTAATGGGCGGAGTTTATAACAATGATTGACAGGGAGCTAAGCTGGAAACGCCCAGTTACAGGATAAAATGCAGTGGATTTCTACAGTTAATTTTATTTCCCAAACCCTGCAAATGTATAATTGTTAAATAGAGAGATCGGTAAACATAATATTGAGTCCTGGGAAGTGACGCTTTAAACAAAAATGATTGTGTAAATATTGAATTATAAAATGTTTTTCATCAAACTTCATATAAGCATTTTATTGCAGCCGTGTTCTGTATGTTTCCCATAATCTGGGTTTCTCTGCAAAGTTTCTACGGCCAGATCTAAAGAAAAAGTCTCATATCCAGCCTTCCCCTAAATGCAAACCGAACCACCTGGTGTCTTACAACAGCTTTGGCACTGGATGGGTTAACCCCCCATCCTTTAATCAGCTTCCCCCCAGCTCTGTGTCCGCATATAGACTGGGAGGGCGGGGGTGGCCCATGTTTTTGTTGTTATTCAGATAAGAGCCATTGCCTCCCCTTATTGTTGGCGAGTTTGACATCCAGAATCTCGTTTGTTCGTCATCCTGCCAGCCAGCCCATTGTACGAGGCAGACAGTGGCCCTTGGCAGAGCTTGGGGAAGGGGGTTTATCATTCCACGTTTGGCGTGATGTTAAATAAACAGAAATTGCATTCTGTGTTTGGGGAAAGTGTGGGTGACGCACGCTGGCGAGGTCTGGCTGCATTCTGCTTAATCTGCCATAAATAAAAATCTTCATAATTATTTATATTGGAGCTGAATGTCCATCATAATTAGTCAGGTTGCTGCTTGCTGTCCCAGTGTAAACATAATCAGCGTACCTCCCCTCATACCCTGCAGGCTCCTTTATACTGCGGCAGATAATAACTACAACCAGCACCTGCTAGCGATATTGGGGTACGCGCAATGTTTGAATCATTGAATGACGTTTATAAGTGTATTATCTCTCGCAGAGCATGGCTTTGTTGGATATTCTGAGGATTTACTGTCTAACAATACATTCCCTGATTACACCCCCGGAGAAAGCTTCTTCACTGTATTTGGGGTCTTCTTTCCAGCTGCCACAGGTAAGGAATTCATCCCCGATCCTTGGGATCCCAGTCCGTGAAGACCTGTTTAGCCATGGTGAGTGGCTGGGCCACTGACTGGGGACCCTGGGCGAGAAAATATTACACAAAACTACACACCAGCCTATGTGTATAGATACAGAGAAATTCTAACACACATTCACACTTCATAGTTTAAATTGCCTCCCTCTTTGTTCTTAGTGCTGTCTGTCGAGTTTCATGCTGGTCTGGTTTCTATGTTTAGGAAGCCATGCTGTCATACAAAGACAGGCAGAGGATAATTCAGCAAAGTGACTGTCTCAGTATTAATACACAGCGCTAGCAGAATGACCGTCTCGTTATTAATACACCGCACTAGCAGAGTGACCGTCTCATTATTAATACACAGCGCTAGCAGAATGACCGTCTCATTATTAATACACCGCACTAGCAGAGTGACTGTCTCATTATTAATACACAGCGCTAGCAGAGTGACTGTCTCAGTATTAATACACAGCGCCAGCAGGGGGACTGTCTCAGTATTAATACACAGCGCTAGCAGAGTGACCGTCTCATTATTAATACACCGCACTAGCAGAGTGACTGTCTCATTATTAATACACAGCGCCAGCAGAGTGACTGTCTCATTATTAATACACAGCGCCAGCAGAGGGACTGTCTCAGTATTAATATACAGCGCTAGCAGGGGGACTGTCTCAGTATTAATATACAGCGCTAGCAGAGTGACCGTCTCATTATTAATACACAGCGCCAGCAGAGTGACCGTCTCATTATTAATACACAGCGCTAGCAGAGGGACTGTCTCAGTATTAATACACAGCGCCAGCAGAGTGACTGTCTCAGTATTAATATACAGTGCTAGCAGAGTGACCGTCTCAGTATTAATACACAGCGCTAGTAGGGGACTGTCTCAGTATTAATACACAGCGCTAGCAGAGTGACCGTCTCATTATTAATACACAGCGCTAGCAGGGGGACTGTCTCAGTATTAATACACAGCGCTAGCAGAGTGACCGTCTCATTATTAATACACAGCGCCAGCAGAGTGACCGTCTCATTATTAATACACAGCGCTAGCAGAGGGACTGTCTCAGTATTAATATACAGTGCTAGCAGAGTGACCGTCTCAGTATTAATACACAGCGCTAGTAGGGGACTGTCTCAGTATTAATACACAGCGCTAGCAGAGTGACCGTCTCATTATTAATACACAGCGCTAGCAGGGGGACTGTCTCAGTATTAATACACAGCGCTAGCAGAGTGACCGTCTCAGTATTAATACACAGCGCCAGCAGGGGGACTGTCTCAGACAGACAATGATCCTGTCCGTAAATGTGATCTCTGGGTCAGGACACAGACAGCGACCCTCTCCGTAAACCTGACTTACGGGGGCCAGAAAAAGACTGTGACTATGGCTCAGGACCCATCAGTGACTCCCTTATGGCGGTAGCTGTGTGGTCCTAATTTTTATGCATTGTTTAGGACCCATTAAAGACCACTTGACGTGTTACAGTATGTTTGAGACTGAATCGATTGGAGACCTGTCAATACTCTGGGTGATAATCTGCATCATATGACCACTGGCTTGAAATTAAAGCTGATTACACCCGTTACCATGGTGCAAAATCTTTGGATTAGTAAAAAGGATTAGTGCCCAGCAAGTGGCTGAAAGCTGGGAATGAGAGGCTGTTTGATGCCATCTATGCAAGGAAAATGCCAATTTAGCCTGCTGTTGGAGGAATACAGAATATAAACCTCTGTCATTTCAGCATAAAACTGTTTTATCTGAGAAACCAGAAGGAACTAGAATAATTACATAAGTCGTATGTCTCTTCATTACTTTATTCTAGAATGGTACTGAGCTTTCCAAATATAACCTACTGTTGGTTTACTTAGTGCACAGCCGGGAGCACACAATGGCACACTGGATCCTTTTTCGAGCTGAAACGTCGCTCTTAGCGTACTTATTGCTTTATATTAAATAAAATGACAACACGTTCTGTTTGGAGAGTGCTAGACCATCCCTTTTGGTCATTCTTTACTTGTGTGGCTTATACAGCACCGCACTTTAGTACGTATTGTATGTACATGATCCAATCGGCACTGAATGGGTTAAAAGAAATCTGTCTATCATAAAATTCATATTAACTCACACCTTGATGCTCATTCTAGGTAAAGCTGGGGGTCAGGTTCTGGTCTCCCCATAATACTGGGAAGCTATTAGTCAATAAACAGATCCGTATATGTTGCTATTGCTGATAACCATGTACAGCCATTACAACATCTGCTTAACCAACATGCATGTCCTTTTGATGTTTAGGCGTAATGGCCGGCTTTAACATGAGTGGAGATCTGAAGAAACCTGCCACTAGTATACCACTGGGATCGCTGGCTGCCATCGCCATATCGTAAGTTTCACCCCATTGGGTCACGAATCTCATAGCGTTCACCGGGGTGATGGGGAACAGAGAGCATTAACAGAAAACGAGCACTTCTCAGGATTTCTTATATTCTGTTAACTTATTCTGACCTTTAAGAAATATGTCTTTGTAAGGTGCAAAAACTAATTTATTAATCTGCATCTCTTTATGCTGTAACTGGGCGCCTCCATCTTAGCTCCCTGTCAATCATTGTTATAAGCTCCGCCCTTTACACCTGGCAGTCAGTATAGAGAGCCGCCTCCATCTTAGCTCCCTGTCAATCATTGTTATAAGCTCCGCCCTTTACACCTGGCAGTCAGTATAGAGAGAGCCACCTCCATCTTAGCTCCCTGTCAATCATTGCTATAAGCTCCGCCCTTTACACCTGGCAGTCAGTATAGAGAGAGCCACCTCCATCTTAGCTCCCTGTCAATCATTGTTATAAGCTCCGCCCTTTACACCTGGCAGCCAGTATAGAGAGAGCCGCCTCCATCTTAGCTCCCTGTCACTCATTGTTATAAGCTCCGCCCTTTACACCTGGCAGCCAGTATAGAGAGAGCCGCCTCCATCTTAGCTCCCTGTCAATCATTGTTATAAGCTCCGCCCTTTACACCTGGCAGTCAGTATAGAGAGAGCCGCCTCCATCTTAGCTCCCTGTCAATCATTGTTATAAGCTCCGCCCTTTACACCTGGCAGTCAGTATAGAGAGAGCCGCCTCCATCTTAGCTCCCCGTCAATCATTGTTATAAGCTCCGCCCTTTACACCTGGCAGTCAGTATAGAGAGAGCCACCTCCATCTTAGCTCCCTGTCAATCATTGTTATAAGCTCCGCCCTTTACACCTGGCAGTCAGTAGAGAGCCGCCTCCATCTTAGCTCCCTGTCAATCATTGTTATAAGCTCCGCCCTTTACACCTGGCAGTCAGTATAGAGAGAGCCGCCTCCATCTTAGCTCCCTGTCAATCATTATTATAAGCTCCGCCCTTTACACCTGGCAGTCAGTATAGAGAAAGCCGCCTCCATCTTAGCTCCCTGTCAATCATTGTTATAAGCTCCGCCCTTTACACCTGGCAGTCAGTATAGAGAGAGCCGCCTCCATCTTAGCTCCCTGTCAATCATTGTTATAAGCTCCGCCTTTTACACCTGGCAGTCAGTATAGAGAGAGCCGCCTCCATCTTAGCTCCCTGTCAATCATTGTTATAAGCTCCGCCCATTACACCTGGCAGTCAGTATAGAGAGAGCCTCCATCTTAGCTCCCTGTCAATCATTGTTATAAGCTCCGCCCTTTACACCTGGCAGTCAGTATAGAGAGAGCCACCTCCATCTTAGCTCCCTGTCAATCATTGTTATAAGCTCCGCCCTTTACACCTGGCAGTCAGTATAGAGAGAGCCACCTCCATCTTAGCTCCCTGTCAATCATTGTTATAAGCTCCGCCCTTTACACCTGGCAGTCAGTATAGAGAGCCACCTCCATCTTAGCTCCCTGTCAATCATTGTTATAAGCTCCGCCCTTTACACCTGGCAGTCAGTATAGAGAGCCACCTCCATCTTAGCTCCCTGTCAATCATTGTTATAAGCTCCGCCCTTTACACCTGGCAGTCAGTATAGAGAGAGCCGCCTCCATCTTAGCTCCCTGTCAATCATTGTTATAAGCTCCGCCCTTTACACCTGGCAGTCCGTATAGAGAGAGCCACCTCCATCTTAGCTCCCTGTCAATCATTGTTATAAGCTCCGCCCTTTACACCTGGCAGTCAGTATAGAGAGAGCCACCTCCATCTTAGCTCCCTGTCAATCATTGTTATAAGCTCCGCCCTTTACACCTGGCAGTCAGTATAGAGAGAGCCGCCTCCATCTTAGCTCCCTGTCAATCATTGTTATAAGCTCCGCCCTTTACACCTGGCAGTCAGTATAGAGAGAGCCGCCTCCATCTTAGCTCCCTGTCAATCATTGTTATAAGCTCCGCCCTTTACACCTGGCAGTCAGTATAGAGAGAGCCGCCTCCATCTTAGCTCCCTGTCAATCATTGTTATAAGCTCCGCCCTTTACACCTGGCAGTCAGTATAGAGAGAGCCACCTCCATCTTAGCTCCCTGTCAATCATTGTTATAAGCTCCGCCCTTTACACCTGGCAGTCAGTATAGAGAGAGCCACCTCCATCTTAGCTCCCTGTCAATCATTGTTATAAGCTCCGCCCTTTACACCTGGCAGTCAGTATAGAGAGAGCCGCCTCCATCTTAGCTCCCTGTCAGTCATTGTTATAAGCTCCGCCCTTTACACCTGGCAGTCAGTATAGAGAGAGCCACCTCCATCTTAGCTCCCTGTCAATCATTGTTATAAGCTCCGCCCTTTACACCTGGCAGTCAGTATAGAGAGAGCCACCTCCATCTTAGCTCCCTGTCAATCATTGTTATAAGCCCCGCCCATTACACCTGGCAGTCAGTATAGAGAGAGGAGGAGACAAGACACAGTGTTTCTCTATCACCTCCTCATTTACAATATGGATTATGATTTCATTTGCTAAATCTTTAATACACATTTAAATAGAATGGATCTATTCAGTGGTATTAATAGCAGAGAAGAGATGATTTTTGTTAAATTAAGTCCAGGACGTGTGATATATAGTTTTATAGTTAACAGGGTACCCTAACTGAGTGAGTGCTATTTGGATTAATATCCAGTTAAAGGACCACTCTAGGCACCCAGACCACTTCAGCTTAATGAAGTGGTCTGGGTGCCTGGTCCAGCTAGGGTTAACCCATTTTTTTATAAACATAGCAGTTTCAGAGAAACTGCTATGTTTATGAATGGGTTAAGTCTTCCCCTATTTCCTCTAGTGGCTGTCTCATTGACAGCCGCTAGAGGCGCTTGCGTGATTCTCACTGTGAAAATCACAGTGAGAGCACGCAAGCGTCCATAGGAAAGCATTGATAATGCTTTCCTATGCGACCGGCTGAATGCACGCGCAGCTCTTGCCGCACATGCGCATTCAGCCAACGGGGAGGAGAGGAGGAGGAGAACTCCCCGCCCAGCGCTGGAAAAAGGTACGTTTTTACCCCTTTCCCCCTTCCAGAGCCGGGCGGGAGGGGGTCCCTGAGGGTGGGGTCACCCTCTGGGCACTATAGTGCCAGGAAAACGAGTATGTTTTCCTGGCACTATAGTGGTCCTTTAAAGGGTTAAAGGTCACCTTTAAGATGTCTTTAGTGTCATCCCCACTAATGGTGGTTTCCTGCTATATGTGTAGTTCTGTGCTCTCACACCCATTCTCTGCTTGTTCACAGGTGGTTCCTATACATCGTGTTTGTTTTCCTGCTGGGTGCCATTTGTATGCGAGAATTTCTGCGCTATGAGTTCATGATCGCAGAAAAGGTAGAGAGAAGGATGGGAATGCAGTGGGAAGGGATTACTGTTATTATAGATAACGTGTCTGTTAACCCAGCTAATGCTAATGACTAGCGCATATTGTGGTAATACAGCATCATGTGACTCAAAAGGGTAACCGTACTATACAACTCAGAGGATATACCTAATGTTACATCATCCATCGAGGATATACCTCCCCATACATCACCCATAGAGGGATATACTTCCCGTTACATCACCCATTGAGGATATACCTCCCGTTACATCACCCATTGAGGATATACCTCCTGTTAAATCATCCATAGAGGGATATACCTCCGGTTTCATCACCCGTAGAGGTATATACCTCCCCTTACTTCACCTGTAGAGGGATATACCTCCCCTTACATCACCCGTAGAAGGATATACCTCCCCTTACATCACCCGTAGAAGGATATACCTCCCGTTACGTCACCCATAGAGGGATATACCTCCCGTTACGTCACCCGTAGAGGGATATACCTCCCGTTACGTCACCCGTAGAGGGATATACCTCCCCTTACATCACCCATAGATGGTTGTTTTCTACTGGAAAATCTGTCTGGAAAGTAATATTTCATTAATAATTGGTATTGTTGCCATTGCACAGATCTGCTAAAGTGTGTCTGTGCTTTATAATATGAATGAGGTCTCCATCGCCTCTTTAGTAGTAGCTTGCCATCCAGGGAGGCTACAATATGTGAATTTATGGGTTGAACGAAACAGAGACCTTTTGTAAAGGATGTTGTTAGTTGTGCATTATTTCAGTTTGAAATGTTCCCATGCCGTTTTAATGGCTCTGACACATAATGCGTTTCACGTGGCTCTGCTCAGTGAAGAATATTAGCTGTTTATCCTAATCCTCAGCTCTTCACTTACTCAATGAATGTCAGACATTCGCTACAACTGTAACTTCATTATTTCCAGTGGAATTGTTTATTTGGGATTAAATGGCAGAAATGTCTGTTTCTGGGATATTGTTACACAGAACGTGTTAACCCATTGATACCGACTTCTAGCAGAATGCTAGTTCTAATATCTGATTATTGTACAGGTCCCTCCTTAAATATCTGCAGACGTTCGATATCTCCGTACAGCACAGTGGGATTAACCAGGATAGAATTAAAGCGGCAATAACACTAAACCTGTTATCCTGGGATCTGTGATCTACTTTACTACCCTGGGAATTAGCGTTCTGAGTGGCATTTTACTCAGGTGGGGGGCTGAAGCATTGCTACTGGGACGGAGGTGTCTTGGTAAAGTCTTTGTACATGTATTCATGTAATATTATTAAACCATGCACATACTGATTTTAGAGCATCCCATAAAATAATGTTCCAAGCTCAACTTGAAAAATAACAGATTAATGCCATTAATCCTCACAAGGCATGTTATTGGGCATTTGGTGCCAGAGCTGAATGTGGTGGTGGCTGTCACCCAGTCCGCCTGGAAGTCTAAACGAGGCCAGTTAGGAATCTTTGTTATATCATTAAATTGGAACATTTCCTGCTGTCTGTTAACCCCACACATTCCTCTTTTCCCAGGTCTCTCTGGTGGGATTCCTCTTCCTGCTGGGCTTGTACATCTCTTCCCTTGCCTCCTGCATGGGGGGTCTATACGGCGCTCCCAGAATCCTCCAGTGCATCGCACAGGAAAAGGTTATCCCTGCCCTCTCCTTCCTGGCTCACGGGGTCAGTTCCTTTTTATTAAGATTTTACTGAAATGGAAACACAAAGGTTAAAAGGGCAAACATCTCCTAAAATAAGAAAGGAGGGCATGCCAATCCCACACACCCCCTATCCCTGCCTTCTCTATTTATCATTGCTCTATTATTTGGATTAAATTATAAAACACACTATGGCAGCAGAAGGAGTAGAAGGTTAAGTGACTAAGTGCCGTTTAGGTTAGGCAACTCACAGAAAGTGGGGGCTAGGGTGGTTTAATTCAACTAGCCTATAGAAAGAGATCTGTGTGCCATTTAGGGTGGGCAGACCATAGTGAGGGGGCTGTGTGACATTTAGTGTGGGCAGACAATAGAGAGGAGGCTGTGTGACATTTAGTGTGGGCAGACCATAGTGAGGGGGCTGTGTGACAATTGGGTGGGCAGACAATAGAGAGGAGGCTGTGTGACATTTATTGTGGGCAGACCATAGTGAGGGGGCTGTGTGACAATTGGGTGGTCAGACTATAGAGAGGGGGCTGTGTGCCATTTAGGGTGGGCAGACCATAGAGAGGGGGCTGTGTGCCATTTAGGGTGGGCAGACCATAGAGAGGTGGCTGTGTGCCATTTAGGATGGGCAGACCATAGAGGGGGGGCTGTGTGCCATTTAGGGTGGGCAGACCATAGAGAGGGAGCTGTGTGCCATTTAGGGTGGGCAGACCATAAAGAGGGGGCTGTGTGCCATTTAGGATGGACAGACCATAGAGAGGGGGCTGTGTGCCATTTAGGATGGACAGACCATAGAGAGGGGTCTGGGTGACATTTAGGATGGGCAAACCATAGAGAGGGGGCTGTGTGTCATTTAGGGTAGGCAGACCATATAGAGGGGGCTGGGTGACATTTAGGATGGGCAGACCATAGAGGTGGCTGTGTGCCATTTAGGGTGGGCAGACCATAGAGAGGGGGCGGTGTGCCATTTAGGGTGGGCAGACCATAGAGAGGGGTCTGGGTGACATTTAGGACGGGCAGACCATAGAGAGGGAGCTGTGTGCCATTTAGGGTGGGCAGACCATAAAGAGGGGGCTGTGTGCCATTTAGGATGGACAGACCATAGAGAGGGGGCTGTGTGCCATTTAGGATGGACAGACCATAGAGAGGGGTCTGGGTGACATTTAGGACGGGCAGACCATAGAGAGGTGGCTGTGTGCCATTTAGAGTGGGCAGACCATAGAGCGGGGGCTGTGTGCCATTTAGTGTGGGCAGACCATAGAGAGGTGGCTGTGTACCATTTAGGGTGGGCAGACCATAGGGGGGGGGCTGTGTGCCATTTAGGGTGGGCAGACCATAGAGAGGGGGCTGTGTGCCATTTAGGATGGACAGACCATAGAGAGGGGTCTGGGTGACATTTAGGATGGGCAAACCATAGAGAGGGGGCTGTGTGTCATTTAGGGTAGGCAGACCATATAGAGGGGGCTGGGCAGACCATAGAGCGGGGGCTGTGTGCCATTTAGGGTGGGCAGACCATAGAGAGGGGGCTATGTGCCATTTAGGGTGGGCAGACCATAAAGAGGGGGCTGTGTGCCATTTAGGATGGACAGACCATAGAGAGGGGTCTGGGTGACATTAAGATGGGCAAACCATAGAGAGGGGGCTGTGTGTGATTTAGGGTGGGCAGACCATATAGAGGGGGCTGAGTGACATTTAGGATGGGCAGACCATAAAGAGGTGGCTGTGTGCCATTTAAGGTGGGCAAACCATAGAGAGGGGGCTGTGTGCCATTTAGGGTGGGCAGACCATAGAGAGGGGTCTGGGTGACATTTAGGACGGGCAGACCATAGAGAAGTGGCTGTGTGCCATTTAGGGTGGGCAGACCATAGAGCGGTTTCTGGGTGACATTTAGGATGGGCAGACCATATAGAGGTGGCTGTGTGCCATTCAGGGTGGGCAGACCATATAGAGGGGGCTGTGTGCCATTTAGGGTGGGCAGACCATAGAGAGGGGGCTGTGTGCCATTTAGGGGGGCAGACCATAGAGAGGGGGCTGTGTGCCATTTAGGATGGGCAGACCATAGAAGGGACTGTGTGCCATTTAGGATGAGCAGACCATAGTGAGGGGGCTGGGTGACATTTATGATGAGCAGACCATAGAGAGGTGGCTTGTGCCATTTAGGATGTTTATAATATACAGCCTATGGAGAGGAGATTGGGCAGCCAATGTTTTGGTGGTAATGAAATCTATTTATTGAAGTGTCTTTGGATCAGACGCTCCAGGCCACCAGGAAGCAGAGAGTTAATGGAGAAATAAATCCTTGTTCAGTCCTATAATTAATTCTGCTGATTATCAGGATTACGGCCTTGGCTGCTGCTTCCTCGTTATAAATATAGCGTGAAACAAACTCAGCTGATTACAGCTGATTATGACATGAATTCTCTGGGCAGATAAGCTGCTGGGGAGAATTTCCCCTTTGGCCTTATTACATAGCATGGGGGGGGGGGGATAACAATGGAATAACCCTGTCCCAGTCCCCAAAATTCAGACACTGACTACTGTTAACATTATATTGGGCTTTAGGGAGCTCAGGGAAGCGTTAGATCTCGCTGCTTGTGTCTGCGGTATCTGATGTACCATGTTCGTGATACTGTGTGCTTGAGCCATAGGGCAGGAGTTGGCATTATCACCTTTTAGGACAGTATTGCTGACATATATTGGTGCAGTTTTCACCGGTGAATCCTCACCAAAAGCAATGCGAGTTCAAGGCTTCATTAAGCCATCAGCAACCTGCAGGGTTCGGCTCTAATTATCAGTCTGCACTAATTAACAAAGAATTGAATGTTATTTGAATCCGTACTATAAATCATTGTAAACATGTTATGTGAGAAAATGGATTAATTATCTACATGGTCGTCTTTACTTTTTTTTTTTTTTCTCTCCCTCTCAGAAAGGACCAAATAAAACGCCGGTAGCAGCAATTATTTTGACAAGTGTTCTCACCATGGCATTTGTCTTTATTGGCCAGGTGAATGTCCTTGCACCAATAGTAACCATTAACTTCATGCTGACGTACAGTGCCGTGGACTATTCCTACTTCTCTGTGACGATGAGTTACAATTTACAATATAATGGCAAAAAGACCATGAGAGTCAACACCAAAGCACTAAGCGCCTCTTGTCCCTTGATTCTTGATAAACCGTCCAGCTACGGAGCGAACGGCACTCTGCTTGAATTCACAAAGGATATGGATCAGATCTTCAAAGTGGGTCAAGTGGAGCCAGCTGAGAGCACAAAAACGCAAAACTCCGGAATGAAGATGACATTTCGTAAAGCTAAGATTCCTGCCAAGCAGTCTTTGGTGGACAGCTTCCAGTTAGATTTGCCACACATTTCGGAGCTGGAGGAGAGTGAACTGATCCCAGAACCAACTGAAGAGAAATTTCAAAATATTGTTCCCTCCATGGACCAAGATGAAAGGAGTCCATCTAACATGGAAGAAGCCGAGGGAGACGCCACACGGAGAATGGTGGAAGGAGAAGAGATGTACACAGAGATCCAGCAATCAGATGGTAAAGAAGGTAATTTATTGCAAACACTTTGCTTTGAGACGAGTCTCGAAGTTTCTAGATCTTTGCTGCATTTATTGGGCCCCATCGGTTGGAATCGCCTCCAGGTGACTGTCCGATATAAATGGATAGTGTTGCGACTCTGTGCTCCTGATACAGGGGGGCCATGCACAGCGCAGTGGGTGTAGTGAGGATTGATGTCTTATTAGAATGAAATAATTTATAACCACATTAATGCCAAGTGTGTGGGCTGGTAGCCTGGATGTAATCTCTAGGCTTTGGAGGATGTAAATTTATTATAAATTTTTTTTTTTATACAGATTTAAACATTCGAAGCAAAGTCCCGGAGTTTGAGATTCAGAGTTTATCCACTTCCTTTTACTCAAAGTTCTGTAATCACTGGGTCTCCTTCCTAGGGGTGAGTATCTCCCACCCTTGCTTTCCTACCACCCCCTCCCCTACGCTACAGTAATGCTCTCCATCTAGGCTAGCTGTATGTAACTCTGGTTGATGGTAGTTCCTTCTGGGAGGGGCAAGTAATAATACCAAGGTAGGGGGGGAAGGTTTAGTAGTATTACCCTAGGGAGGGGTCAGTACTATTGCCCTGGGGAGGGTGAGGGGTTTGTAGTATTGCCCTGGGGTGGGTGCTGGGGGGAGGGGTTTGTAGTATTGCCCTGGGGAGAGTGGTGGGGGGTTGTAGTAATGCCCTGGGATGGTGGTGGGGGGCTTGTAGTATTGCCCGTGGTGGGGTATTGCCTGTGGGGGTTTAGACTTGAGGGGGTGTTGTAGTATTGCCCTGGGGACGGTGGGGGAGGGGGGAGTTGTAGTATTGCCCTAGGGCGGGGTTCGTAGTATTGCATTGTGGTGGTGAGCAATCTAACACATTGCGTAAATACTGTTCCCCCTAAGCACATAACGAATCCTCTCCTGGTTGCAGGCGATCTTTTCTGTTGTTATCATGTTTGTAATCCAGTGGATCTACGCTCTGGTCAATATCGGGGTGGCTGTTCTCTTATATTTCTACATTGGGCGGGTGAGCCCTGGGCTTAATCCAGGTAGGTGCACATTGGCATATATCATTATACTAGGCCCCTATGTTCTGATTTCCGCTGTAGTAATAAAGATATTTTATTCTTGAATAACTGAGTAATTCGGTCCCTAATTCACGTATTACTGGAGATAAATATAAATAAATATAAAATAAATATAAAATATAAATGAGATAATTTTGCCCTTATACTACTATGTTAGCTATTTTACCATTATCCCATATACACCCAACAGGTTTCATTTCTTTGTTGTCCCCTCTCAGCACCTCCAATGCGCCATCCCTTGCAGCATTCCCTCTCAGCACCTCCAATGCATCATCCCTTGCAGCATTGCCTCTCAGCACCTCCAATGCATCATCCCTTGCAGCGTTCTCCCTCAGCACCTCCAATGCATCATCCCTTGCAGCATTCCCTCTCAGCACCTCCAATGCATTATCCCTTGCAGCGTTCCCCCTCAGCACCTCCAATGCATCATCTCTTGCAGCGTTCCCCCTCAGCACCTCCAATGCATCATCCCTTGCCGCATTCCCTCTCAGCACCTCCATGCGCCATCCCTTGCAGCGTTCCCTCTCAGCACCTCCAATGCATCATCCCTTGCAGCGTTCCCCCTTAGCACCTCCAATGCATCATCTCTTGCAGCGTTCCCCCTCAGCACCTCCAATGCATCATCCCTTGCCGCATTCCCTCTCAGCACCTCCAATGCGTCATCCCTTGCAGCGTTCCCTCTCAGCACCTCCAATGCATCATCCCTTGCAGCATTCCCTCTCAGCACCTCCAATGCATCATCCCTTGCAGCGTTCCCTCTCGGCACTAGTTACAGACAGATCTTCTTGTATCAGAATGGTCTCAGGGTTTCCCAATTTATCGCTTGTTTAAATATTCATTTATTTTTATATTTAGGGGCAGCAGCAAGCTTCAGTTTATTCTCTTGGATTCAATTAATGGCCGTCACGGTATTCAGGTGCGTTTTCCTCTGTACGTTATATGATTAAATCCAAAGTAACTCCAGTATTGTGAAGCGTTTATGTTGACCCCCCTCACCTTCCCGCCCGTGTGTTAAAGGAGAGCTGAATTGTGAGCTTTTACTATAAATCCCTTATGATTTGCCGCAAATTAAAATGTCTCAGGGAAGACTTGGGATCTCCATAAACTTCGCTATCTGTAGCCATCTTTAAAGGGATAACACAGGCACCATAACCACTACACCACACTGTCCAGCCACTCATACTCTTACTTTAGCATAAAAACATTGATGACAAAAAAAATGATATATGCACACAAAGATATATGTAAACACACACACACAGTAATCATGACTCGCATGTCAGTCAGTCAGTCGATGAGAGGATTCATTTGAATGTAACCCTTTCCTGCCGCCTTCAGTGTGTTCGATTGATTGTATGCAGTGTATGTTAAGCCGTGTCATCACCCAGATTGTGCAATGGTGGATTCTCTGTTTTCGTTATGGAATGTACAATTCCTCTGCTGCATTTGTTGTGTAGTCCTTTAAGGGGGCCTATTATAACTGTTAATCAATAACAATTCTATGTCTTTCTCCACAGGAAGAAGTCTTCCCCAGGGGAGCGCATTGTAGTAACACCTTCCTTTGCGTCTGTTGGTATGGAGACCACACAGCTGACAGAAGAGAACGCAGATTTTGCGTCCCGCGGTCGCTACCATCATTCTTCTGTCATTAGCACCGGACAGTTTGTTAACCAGTTTCATTAGGAAGCCATGGACAGACCTGTGAATCTAAAATGGAAACTGCACCATGTCTTGGCTGCTAAATTGTTAATTGTAAACTTTCTTCCGTGGCAAAAGATGGATTTCCAGAACAGCGCTGTGGGAGAGCTAAATGTGCCTTATTCTTGTTAAAAAAAGAAAAATGTTCAAGAAACTTAATAGTTAAAAGCAAAAGGAATTGTAAATAAATGTTCATAGGGAATTTATTGCACGCACTCTGCAAGGTCCCTAGGTCTGCACAAGGTCGCCAGGTCTGCACGCACTCTGCGAGGTCCCTAGGTCTGCACAAGGTCGCCAGGTCTGCACGCACTCTGCGAGGTCCCTAGGTCTGCACGCACTCTGCGAAATTGGGTCTATGTGCATTCTGCGAGGTCACCAAACCTGCGCACACTCTGCGAAGTCACAAGAAAAGAAACCAGTCACTGAGTGAAAGCCTATGTGGATCATCATTGCAGTAGTATCTCTGGCACCTTAATTACAGCTCTCAGATTTTCCCTTGTGCTGTGGCTGGTTGTTTGTCATGGGATTTAAGGTTTGACAGACCCTGGTCTGGATCTAATATACTGGGGATAATAGGAGTGTTTAACTGTGTGGCGTCAGCCAGTCTATCATGAGATAGTCTGTGCTGTTTGGCCTGTGCATGATGGGTGTTGCAGCTTGCTGTGGAGCGGTGCCATTGCTGCTGTGAGTAGGATAGACTTGGCACTGCTAACAAAAAGTCAAGTATTAGTTTTTTTTCTATCATCTCTGGTGAGGTACAGGAGGGATTCCTGCTCCTCAGTACTGTGAATGGAGAATACTCTGTTAACCCCTTGCTGACAGACTCCAGCAAACTGTGCTTTGTCTCCTATGCAGCAATAAATGATTTCATGTGAGATGTTTATTAGCTGTTTGTATTCAGTCCTGGTAAATGGTGATGGTCTATATCAGCTCCTCAGAGGAGGGAATACATCCACTAACAGCACAGTAAGGGCCTCTCTATCACCTTCCCTCTGCTTAGACTCCGTAAACTTCTCCCATCGCAGTATGTTAGCCCTAACTAACTCTGGAACTCCAATCTGTCAATTGATCAATAATTAAATCCAGATGTATCTCTGTTCCCCCCAATCTCACTGCGCTATTGGATATCCCCAAGCTATGTCTATACCAACCTGTAGATGCCAAACAGAAGAGGGTTGGGCCAGGCACTCCAATGCTGTAAAGGCAGGTTATTGGAAGAAAATGAACATTGCAACGTTTCGACCCACACAGGGGTCTTTGTCAAGCTCACTGTGTTCCAATGAACTGCCGTTCCTGCATGGGGGAGCTTAGACCAGGGGTGCCCAAAAGGTAGATCCCCAGATGTTTTAAAACTACAGCTTCCATGATGCTTTGTCATTTTAAAGGCATGCAAAGCATCATGGGAACGTCTGGGGATCTACCTCTTGAGCGCCCCTGGCCTAGACCATCTCTCTTCCATTTGGTATCTTCTGGGCTAGTGCTGGGTCTGGTTAATCACCCAACCTGTTTATGTGATTTGAAAGCAGTTCCTTTTTTGTTTTTGTATGATGTGTATATACCAACCTTTAGTACATATGTAGCGGAGAGGCAGTATGATCCACGATATCTCCGCTGGGTAACAGGAACAACAAAGGATAATCCAGGGAATCAGCATATAATAATCCAAACAGCACTGTAGTAACCCTTCCTTCCCAAGAACTAGACGACACATAGGCTGGGAGTCAACTGAGGTTTTAATCACAGGTCACGGTATTTATGCAATTCCCCATGCAAGGGGTTTCCAAACAGACATTACAGGGGTTGTACAGGAGGGGACTACATGGGGGACTTACTGTACTACATATTTCTCCCATCAGGCACCGCTGCACGAGAGGGATCACCCTCCCAGAATGCACCGTTAAGGGGATTATCCCCTCGTGCAGCAGGACCGGCAATTCACACAAAAATCCACCGTTGGTACAATATACGGTGGATTTACACGAATGGGCGTTCGGTAGATAGCTGGGGTCTGGGCGCATCATTCGTGAGATTGCCGCTCAGATCCCAGCTAAAATAACCGAACGCCGCACAGAAAACACCTTTCTTTAAAAACACATGAAAAGAACCGATTGTCTTTAATGAACCTGGTCCTGAAACTCCCGAACGTCCTGGAGGCTTAACGGTGTTCGTGCCATCGAATGACTGTTGGGAATGCTATGCGTTCGACGACACGGACCCGCTGACGAACCAGGGATCCAAGATGGCCGCCCGCCGCATGGTCGGTAGTCGAACGACGGCCACCCAGGAGAGCCTCTAATAACCGATTGCAACAATGTTGCCATCGGTTAACTAGCGCCACACGCCTCTAAGTGTGTGGGCTATTAGGGGGTATCGCATTCGTTTCACGAACGGCCTTCCAAAGTGCCGTTCGCGAAACGAACGGGAATCCCCATACAAACCGCCATTTGCATTCGGCGGAACAAATAGGTACAGGCAATGCAGGGAATACATGAAGCAGGCACATACAGGTACAATGCATCTCTCTCCAGACCTATAGGCAACCCTTAAAGGCACAGTGTCCAGTTATAGTCCGAGTGGCTAGGTTTGCCACAATGCTCCCCCAGAACCAAGCCGGCATACACAGTCTGATCCCAACGGATCGGCTTGGGGATGTCCGGAGGAGTACTCACGAATCATGGCTCCAAGTCTGTTTGTCTAGACAACCCGTCGGCGTTGCCATTCTGCTTCCCAGGGCGGTAGTGGATAGTAAAGTCAAAAGGCTGCAGCGCCAAACTCCAGCGCAGCAGCCTGGCATTGTCTCCGGACACCCTGTTCAGCCACACCAACAGGTTGTGATCCGTGAGTAAAGTGAAGGGTTGCCCGTATAAGTAGGGTTGCAACTTCTTGAGGGCCCACACCACAGCCAGGCACTCTTTTTCAATGGCGGCGTAGCTTACTTCCCTGGGTAAAAGTTTTCGGCTTAGGTAAGCTACGGGGTGCTCGCCGCCATCGGGTCCAACTTGGCTCAGTACTGCTCCCAATCCAAACATAGAAGCGTCTGTGTGGACGAGAAAGCGTTTAGTTGGATCAGGAGCAGAAAGTACAGGAGAATTAGCCAGCGCCGTCTTGAGCTGTTGGAACGCCTGCTCACACTCTGGGGCCCAGACTACTAACTTAGGGAGGTTCTTGCGGGTCAGGTCTGTGAGGGGTTTGGCGAGGGCGCTATAGTTGGCCACAAACTTCCGGTAATACCCGGCGGTCCCTAAAAAGCGAGCACTTGGGTCTTGGTGCGAGGGGTAGGCCATTGGGCGACTGCCTCTATTTTAGCAGGTTCGGGTTTCTGTTGCCCACTCCCTACCCGGTGTCCCAGATACTGGACTTCCGCCATACCGATATGGCATTTGCTGGGTTTTAGGGTCAGTCCGGCCTCTCGGATTCGGTCTAGGATGGCTCCTATGTGAACCAGATGTTCGTGCCAGGAGTGGCTGAATATGGCGATATCATCTAGATACGCGCAGGCATACTCCTGGAACCCATCTAATAATCTGTCCACCATTCTCTGGAAGGTAGCTGGGGCGTTTTTCATCCCGAATGGCATGACCTTAAACTGATACAGGCCAAACGGGGTGACAAAAGCCGACTCAGGGATGGCGTCTTCCGCTAAGGGAATCTGCCAGTACCCTTTACACAAGTCTATAGTGGTTAGGTATTGACCCCTGGCCATCTTGTCGAGGAGTTCGTCTATTCGGGGCATGGGATATGCGTCAGAGGTCGTTTTATCGTTGAGCCGTCGGTAGTCCACGCAGAAACGGGTCGTCCCGTCCCGTTTTGGCACCAGTACTACCGGGGAGGCCCAGGGGCTGTCCGAGTGCTCTATTACTCCTAGCTGAATCATCTCCTCAATTTCCTTGCGCATATTCTCCTTGACTGCTTCTGGAGTGCGGTAGGGGGGTTGGCGCAAGGGGGTCGAATCTAACGTTTCTACCTTATGGGTAGCCAACGGGGTATAGCCAGGTAAATTGGAAAACGTGGCCTTCTTTTCCTGAAGCAACCTTTGTACCTGGGCCCGTTCTTGGGTATTTAATCTTTCTCCTAACTGTACCTCTCCCAGATCTCCGCTCTGGCCCTCTTGGTCTAGGAGATCGGGTAGGGGTAGGTTATCAAAATCTTCCGTGGCAGGGGCACAGATTGCGGTGACTTCCTCCATCCGTTCGTGGTATGGCTTGAGCATGTTCACATGGAGCATGCGCTTGCCTCCCACGCCGGTAACCGGGCCGATCACATAGGTGGTGTCACAGATCTGTTCCACCACCTTGTATGGGCCCTGCCAGGAAGCCTGCAGCTTATCTTTGTGGGCGGGTCGCAGGATTAGGACTTTCTGCCCCACCTGAAAGCTGCGGTCCCTGGCTCCCTTATCATACCATCGGCGCTGTCGTTGTTGCGCTACCTGGAGATTGTCTCGGACGGTCTGGGTTAGCCTCTCCAGGCGTTCCCGGAACTCGAGCACATATGGTAAGATAGGGGTGCCATTAACGGCTTCGTCTCCCTCCCAGTGTTCCCGTATCAAGTCAAGAGGTCCCCTCACTCTCCTCCCGAATAATAATTCGAACGGAGAGAATCCGGTGGATTCTTGTGGCACTTCTCGATACGCGAACAGTAGGTGGGGTAAGAACCGCTCCCAGTCCTTTTGGGTGTCCATGAACGTGCGGATCATTTGTTTCAGGGTTCCGTTAGATCGTTCACAGAGCCCATTGGACTGGGGGTGATATGGGGAGTTGAGGATTTGTTGTATCCCACATATTTTCCAGAGCTGATGGGTCACTTCCGCAGTAAACTGGGTGCCTCTATCGGAGATAATCTCCCGGGGAAATCCTACCCGGGTGAATATCCTCATCAGGGCCTCGGCTACCGTTTCTGCGTGTACGTTCGTTAGGGCCACTGCCTCGGGGTACCGGGTGGCGTAGTCCACCACAGTTAGGACATACTTCTTGCCGGAGGGGCTGGGTTTTGCGAGGGGACCTATAATGTCTACTGCCACCCTACTGAATGGTTCTTCAATGATGGGCAGAGACCGTAGTCGGGCTTTGTATCTGTCCCCCCTCTTGCCTACCCTTTGGCAGGTATCGCAGGTCTGACAATACCGCTTAATATCCTGGGAAATACCTGGCCAAAAGAAATTTTGGGTCAGCCTGTGCTTGGTCCGACTGATGCCTAGGTGTCCAGACAGGGGGATATCATGGGCTATGCGTAACAGCTCTAACCTATATTTTCGAGGCACTATTAGCTGTTTAATGGGCAATGGTATTGACCCGGACACTACCTTCTCTGCGTGCCGATATAGTAGCCCCTTGTCCCAGATATATCTTTCCCCCTCTAACCCAGCTTGATTTTTATCCATGCGGTCTTTGTACACTTGTAACGAAGGATCTAGGGCTACTTCGGCCCCGAACTCTAGGGAATTGGCCCAGGGCAGGGTAGGAGGTAGGGGAGGGTCATTGCTTACCTGAGCCTCAGAGTGTTCGAATGGTGCAGTGGTGCGGGCCTGTTGCCGGGTCACAACCGGGTATGCTTCTTGTACGGTGGGTTGGGGAACAAAAGCCGAAGTCAGCTCCCCCAAATCGTTGCCCAAAATCACATCCGCTGGCAAGTCTTGCATCATCCCCACATATACATTCCCGTGCCCCGCTCCCCAATTCAAGTGCACCTTGGCCGTGGGTACTTTGTAAATGGCTCCCCCAGCCACCCGCACAGCCACACAGTCCCCCGTGAGCTTGGGCTTTGGTACCAGATGACTGCGTACTAGAGTTAGGGTGGCTCCCGAGTCACGAAGTCCTTGTACTTTCCTCCCTTCCATGTGTACTTCCTGGCGGTGCCCTTGGCGGTTATCGGAGGCGGCCTGGACAGGGTTCACCTCGTGTAGAGTACCGAGAGGTTCCTCCCGGGTCGTCCCCAACTCCAGGTTTTGGTCGGATTCGGCCTGTAGACAGTGGACTGCGGCACGGTTGCTCGGGGCGGCGTTATTCCAGCTGGGTCGAGGCCGGTTCCGTGGGCAGTCTCTCTGGATGTGCCCCTGTTGGTTGCAGGTATGGCACCGGATTGGTGGACGTGCTGAATATCTGGGGGGGTAGGAATTCTGATTTACCCCTGGTCGCTGGTACGTTGCGGGGCCCCCTGGAGGGCTGGCCGTTGTAGGGGGAATGGTGGCTCGGGTTGGTATAGGTTGATCTCTCCGATTGTCCTGGAAATCGTCTGCCATATTAGCCGCTTCCTGCAGGGTGTGTGGCTTCCTGTCCCGGATCCAGTTTTGTAGGTAGGTCGGGACGCCATTGAAGAATTGTTCCAGTACCATTAGCTGGAACAGACCCTCCAATGTATCAACTTGGGCGGCCTCCAGCCACCCTTTGGCAGCTCGTTGTAGCTGGTGCGCCCACTCCACATGGGTGTCCTTACTGGGTTTTTTAATGTCCCGAAATTTCTTTCGGTATGCCTCTGAGGTGATGGCATACCGGGCTAGGATGGCCCGTTTTACTTTAGCGTAGTCTCTACTATCCTCGTCTGGTACTGCCCGGTACGCTTCGGCGGCTCGCCCAGATAATCTCCCCGCTAGTAGGGGTACTCTGTCTGCATCATTAATCTCGTGCAGCAAACACAGTCTCTCGAAATCTTGTAAATAGTCGTCAACGCCACCCTCTGTCTCCACATAGCTTTTGAAGGCTTGATATGGGATTTTGGTTTTCCCTGGGAAACTATGGACTGGCGTTGCGGCTCTTTCTCTGGCTTGCTGGTTTCCTGGCGGTCCCCTAGCCATAATGTACTCCTGTACATCGGCGAACAGCCGGTTAAACATTTCTGTAGATGGTGGTTCAGGAAATAACGCCAGTCGTGCTCGGAATTCCACTGTAAATTCATTGTTTTGTCCCTCCATTTGAGGTGCTGCAGCAGCTGCGGCTCTGTCTCCTTCCATGAGCTCCGTTATTAGGACAGCCTTTGCCTTGTTACTGGCGATTGCTCCTCTTGCTTCCAGCAGCTCCTTTAATGTGCTCCGTTTTAGCAGGGTGTAGTCTGTTCCCATTCACCTGCTGTTCGTGAGGTTTATTCGAATGCGCTGATTCCCGAATGCTGGTTCCTTGATTCGTTTAAAAATCTGCCGAACGTTGCTTTGCTGTGTAAATTCAATCCCGTCGCTTGCCACCAATTGTAGCGGAGAGGCAGTATGATCCACGATATCTCCGCTGGGTAACAGGAACAACAAAGGATAATCCAGGGAATCAGCATATAATAATCCAAACAGCACTGTAGTAACCCTTCCTTCCCAAGAACTAGACGACACATAGGCTGGGAGTCAACTGAGGTTTTAATCACAGGTCACAGTATTTATGCAATTCCCCATGCAAGGGGTTTCCAAACAGACATTACAGGGGTTGTACAGGAGGGGACTACATGGGGGACTTACTGTACTACATATTTCTCCCATCAGGCACCGCTGCACGAGAGGGATCACCCTCCCAGAATGCACCGTTAAGGGGATTATCCCCTCGTGCAGCAGAACCGGCAATTCACACAAAAATCCACCGTTGGTACAATATACGGTGGATTTACACGAATGGACGTTCGGTAGATAGCTGGGGTCTGGGCGCATCATTCGTGAGATTGCCGCTCAGATCCCAGCTAAAATAACCGAACGCCGCACAGAAAACACCTTTCTTTAAAAACACATGAAAAGAACCGATTGTCTTTAATGAACCTGGTCCTGAAACTCCCGAACGTCCTGGAGGCTTAACGGTGTTCGTGCCGTCGAATGACTGTTGGGAATGCTATGCGTTCGACGACACGGACCCGCTGACGAACCAGGGATCCAAGATGGCCGCCCGCCGCATGGTCGGTAGTCGAACGACGGCCACCCAGGAGAGCCTCTAATAACCGATTGCAACAATGTTGCAATCGGTTAACTAGCGCCACACGCCTCTAAGTGTGTGGGCTATTAGGGGGTATCGCATTCGTTTCACGAACGGCCTTCCAAAGTGCCGTTCGCGAAACGAACGGGAATCCCCATACAAACCGCCATTTGCATTCGGCGGAACAGATAGGTACAGGCAATGCAGGGAATACATGAAGCAGGTATGTACAGGTACAATGCATCTCTCTCCAGACCTATAGGCAACCCTTAAAGGCACAGTGTCCAGTTATAGTCCGAGTGGCTAGGTTTGCCACAACATACCTCCCTTAGAGTTTGCATTGAATGCTAAGCTGTAATAATCAGGACACCATTACTTTTTATTCCATTATTTTCTTCCATTCTCACTGATATCCGAAAGGTTCTCTCCGTGGCTGAATTGCAGAGTTTGGTTAAGGTTCTGTAAAAGCAGTTGCAGTACTTCCCAAAACATAATTACTCTGTAACGGGAAGGCTTACCTGGGAGAATAAACCTGTCGCCCCTTCCCAAGTTGGACATGTTCCTGGCCGGCAGATTGGAAGTGTGATAGTTTTGTTAAATTGCTCCTTCCTGGGTTAATGTCCCAGAATGAGAATGTCAGGAAGAGACCTTTCACATAATTCCCACTGTGCCCATGGTGCCATTACATGGTCTGTGTAAAGCTGCCTTGTACGTGGCTGTGTGAACGTAAATGTGACCTGCACTCATCGGTATGTCCAGTCCATCCACGTGGGCATAGTACCCACAATGCAAGCTTGTGGTTGGACAACTGCTTAGAGAATTTTGCGGTTTCATTTGAATGTTTTATATTAGATACGGTGCCAGATTTAAACAAAACACGCAAACCATACCTGGAATTCTTCGATGGGAGAGTCTCCAGCATTGGACACACTGTGTGAAATGATTTTTAATGTCTAACAAAATCAAAACGGAGGGGAAAGTGCCTGAAATGGAGAGCCGCTAGGGGCTATTTTAGAGATAGATATATACTGTCAAAGAAAAGGGGCAGCGTCTGTGCGCCATAGCATCTACCTGCAGATAGAGTGATTTGGCAAATGTACACCAATTTATATAAATAAAGAATAGTGCTCACTATAATATAGACATCTAATGGTCAGCGATACTGCAGAACAAGGATCGCACAAATCTTGCATATAATAAATGGAAATTGTGAAACAGCTTCTTGCTTAATAGTGAAAAAAAAATCTATAATAAATTACCAAGAATACATAGATATCAGTGCAAGACATCTTTGTAGAGGTAAACGGCTTTATATTAAACATCTCATATGGTAATCAAACCCTCTTAAATGACAAAAGCCATGCCGAAGCACACTCACATGTAGGAGAGCTGAATCAAGCTCACAATAGCGTGAGAGCTATAACACTCGACTGTGTATATACAGAGCAAGCGATTTCTGCTGACGTAAACATCTCCAATCCGGTATGAAACAGAGCCAATAGTGAACCCTGAAAATATACAAGGTAAGGAGAACAAGAGCTATAAGCTACCAACATGTCTCACAGCACACACTTGCTCTGTATAATTTGCATTGCTGGTATATACTTTATATTTATATGTAATACGTTAGATTAACCCCTGTATCACAACTCAACTTTGAATTCTATGTGTCGTCTTGCTCAGAAATGCTTCAGACTTGAGAAAGCGAGTTACTCCCGAAAGCTTGTCATTACAAAATTCTGTTCGCCCAATAAAAAAAAGGTATCACAAGATACAAACTTTATCTGTTATTTTCATGTTAGATAAAAATATTCATGAATCCAGTAAGCAGAATAAAACAATCGCTATCCACATAAACCTACTTATGTTTTATTATATTAATATATTGTCTCTCTGACTCTCAGTGCCCTCATCTTCGGCTCGAATCTCCCATGGATTAACATAGAATGTGACGGCAGATAAGAACCATTCGGCCCATCTAGTCTGCCCAATTTTCTAAATACTTTCATTAGTCCCTAGGCCTTATCTTATAGTTAGGATAGCCTTATGCCTATCCCACGCATGCTTAAACTCCTTTACTGTGTTAACCTCTACCACTTCAGCTGGAAGGCTATTCCATGCATCCACTACCCTCTCAGTAAAGTAATACTTCCTGATATTATTTTTAAACCTTTGTCCCTCTAATTTAAGACTATGTCCTCTTGTTGTGGTAGTTTTTCTTCTTTTAAATATAGTCTCCTCCTTTACTGTGTTGATTCCCTTTATATATTTAAATGTTTCTATCATATCCCCCCGTCTCATCTTTCCTCCAAGCTATATATGTTAAGATCCTTTAACCTTCAATATCCTTCTGGGGACACGGTCTCCAGTACTGTGTACAAAACGGTCATAATTGCAGAAAAGCGCCGCGTGTCCCAATTGAAATCGGTCTGTCTTACTATCCCGTAACACTGATTACAGGAAGAGCAAGAATTTTGCATTAAGAAAGAAAAAAAAATCCACTTGGTAGATGGGAAAAACCACGCAGTATCCATCAATAGGCAGGGCCATACTGGTATTTCCCGTTGGACTGTCGCCACCTGGGGCCAGGCAGACAGCTGTCTGTGCTGGCGGCCGCAAATGGAGCCGCAGATGGAGCTCTGATGGTGGCCGCAGGGGGAGCTGGCTGTGCTCTCTCTGCTCACCCGCCCTCGCGCGCTACTCAATGAGCCCGGGGCCGGAATATGACGTCATATTCCGGCCTCGGTCTCATTAAGCTGCGCCTTGGGGAGCAGAGACAGAACAGCCAGCTCCCCCTGCGGCCACCATCAGAGCTCCCTCTGCGGCCGCCAGCACAGACATCTGTCTGCACACAGGTAGCAATTATGTGTCAGTGTGAGTGTATGTGTGTGTGTCTGGGTGTGTGTGTCTGTCATGGTGTGTGTGTGTCTGTCTGTGTCATGGTGTGTGTGTGTCTGTGTCATGCTGTGTGTGTGTCTACCTGTGTCATGGTGTGTGTGTGTGTGTCTGTGTCATCTTGTGTGTGTCTGTCTGTGTCATCTTGTGTGTGTGTCTGTGTCTGTGTCATGGTGTGTGTGTCTGTCATGATGTGTGTGTCTGTGTCATGTAATGTGTGTCTGTGTCATGTAATGTAAGATTGTCTGTGTCACGGTGTGTGTGTGTCTGTGTCATGGTCTGTCTGCGTCATAGTGTGTGTGTCAAGGTGTGTGTGTTTGTGTCTGCGTCATGGTGCGTCTGTCTGTCAAGGTGTGTGTGTGTCTGTCTGTGTCATGGTGTGTGTGTGTGTGTGTCTGTCATGGTATGTGTGTGTGTCTGTGTGTGTTTTTACTCACCTTTTTTTTCCCCCACGTCATGCTGGTCTTCCCTCGATTGGCCCTGCCTCAATGGCTGAGATCATCAAGCTTGATGATCTCAGCCAATCCGCACTGACACAGGAAGTACCTCTAGTGACCATCTGAGTGTCTGTCACTAGGAAGCAATGTAAACACTGCCTTTTCTCTGAAAATTCAATGTTTACATTGAAAAGCCTGCAGGGACAGGCTGTAGACACCAGAACCACTACATTAAGCTGTGTGTGCGTGTGCCTGCTAGTGAGTGAGCTTGTGTGTTTATGTCAATGAGCTGATGAATATCAGTGAGATTGTTTGTCTATGAGGCTGTGTATCAATGAGCTTGTGTGTGTTAGTGAGGTTGCCTGTGTCTGCATGTGAGTATGCTTACTGTATAATTAAACATTTTACTCTGAAAGGACCAATATTTTATAGTAGAAAAAGCAATATATATTATAGATATATATATATATTACTCAATCATCTGGGGTGGCAAGACATAGCCTTACATATTACATGCGACAATATATGGCACAGTGTTATGGAGTGGGCATATTTTTTTTTTTTCCAGGGCTGCTTTGTATCCCCAGTCCAGCCCTGTCCATAGGCGTTTATTTCCTAAATCAGTATTGTAGTGAACAGAACTCCAAAAGGCTAAAACAGGCGATCTGTGACTATTTGACCATTTTTCAGACGCAGCCATTTTTGCTAAAATGTTATTGTGATTTTTAATTACTATTTGTTTACAGAATTAAAACCAAATAACAGAGGAAGCAGCTCTGGGCTTTAGATTTCCTGCAGGTGAAGGAATAGGTTAATTTTATCTGCAGGCCCGTGGTTTACATTGCAAGGTTAGAGCTACAATGAGATGAATTGGTCTGAGGACCACTCTGACGTCCCCAATGTAAACAGTCAAACCGTTAGCTAATGATACGATTTCTTATCTGGCTCCGCTGGGCCCCACCCGCTGCCTCTTCTTAGCATCTTCTGTGCCTCTTCCCCTCCCCCTTTTTCCTGTCCTATTGTTTCCCCAGCAGGGTGTTGTCCCAGGGACACTGCCAGACCAGTTGAAACTGGCTGCTTTGTCCCTCCTCAATCTCCCATCAGCCCTTGCTATTGTATGACCCCACCCTTCCTTGTACTATAGTAATCTATGTAACCTATTGTATGTAAATGAGGCTGTTGGGGGCTTAAAACTATGTGTGCTGCATTCATTAAAGAGTTGCGGTTTAACCTTCACCATGTGTCGTCTGGTGTTTAGTCCAGGGTGGAAAAGACCCTAAGTGATCCCAGTCAAGCCTCGGCATCTGGGTCTGAAGTGTTTCAGGGTCCCTGATAGCTACAAGGAGGCAGACTTGGCAGAGGTACTCGATTGGAGTACTGGAGCTCCGTTACACTTCACTTTATAAAATTGATACCAAATTGGTAGACCTAAATTCAAAAGAGTTGGGTCCAGAAGCCAACGGATTATTATTTGGAGACAGTATTATGTGAGACCTCTCTAAGCACGTCTCAGTTTTAACAACATAAACAAAGCTCAGTCCTATTCAGAGTCTTTCGCTCCCAAACCCATCATTTTTGTGGGAGAGCTAGTCGCTATAGAGGCCAAGCCACCAGCAGGGCAGCCTTCACATGCTCCATCATTCCTCTTGTTTTAGTGTTCCTGCAGGCAGCTGCTCAAGGCTTCTGCCCTTTCTTGCAGTGAGCACTATTGGTTGCTTCTTCTTCTCGAGAATTGGACACCATTGACGAAGAGATATCCATCATATATCCCATAAGCGGGGATTATACCGCTGTGTGCGCTTTACCCCAGAGCTGGGTATAAGCTCTTGTAAATGTGAGTTTTCCACCATTATCTCTTACTACGTCTAAATTTGAGCTATACATATTGCACTATTGGTTGTCCCTCTCTTTTTTCTTCTATATAAGTGGAACCACTATTATATCTGAAGAATCTAACACTGTACCAAAAGGACTATCCGTAAGGACACACAAGTTGGACTTTTATTTGGACTTCATCTTTTTTTATTATATTTTATGTGGCGTAGCCTTTTCTATCTGGGTGTTTTGAGGGATTCCCCCTTAAGGGTTGCTGCCTACTAGTCGATCAGCGCTGTCTCATCCATTTACTATTATTATCTTCACAGGCTACAGGCCTCGCCCCACATATTATTGGGCTTCAGGACCCACCAGACTCTATCATCGACAGTTCTTCAATAACAGAGGATCTATTCGAGGAAGTGGCTCTGCTTCCCTACGCTGTCACACTGCTTCAGGTAATAGACCTTACTTATTTCAATGCACCAATTGCAGGTCGATTATCATATTTTTTTCCAACGGTGGAAACAAATCTTGAGATCAATGGATCCTAAACACAGTCAGGGGAATCAGGATAGTTTTATCACCCATCCCGTGCAATACACCCCACCCACTATGGATGTCAGAGGCAGACAACCTAATCTTAAACTCAAAGTTACACTACTTCAGAGAGAAGGGTGCGATCGAGCGGTCGCCTTTCCCATGTATTTTTCTCAGCAACATATACTTGTATGCAAAAAGACTGGGGCCCACTGTCTAATTATCAATCTAAAAGATCTGAATCAATTTTCCAGCTAGACAGCTACAAACATTTCAAGATGGAAGGCATCCATCTTCTCAGGGACTGGTTCTCCAGATTCGATTTAAAAGACGCATACCTCACAGTCCCATCGGGCTTTCCTTCAATTCCTACAGCAAGGAGAAATTTTGCAGTTCACCTGCCTTCCTTTTGGCCTTGGCTCCGCACCATGGTGTTTCACCAAACTGATGAAACTGGTGATGGCCCACTCTATTATATATTTGGACAATATCCTTATAATGGTCCAGGATCCACACCTACTGTGCCATCACACAAACATGACTTCTGCTTTACTTCAAAACCTTGGTTTTGTTGTAAATTCCCAGAAATCAGATTTAGAACCTTCTCAGGTAGTTCAGTTTCTGGAATTTCAAATAGATTCTATACAGGCAATTCTCCAACTGCCTTACCCCAAAAAAAAAAATATAAAAAAAAAAAAAAAAGAGATTCGGAATTTGCTATCTGCCCAACAAATTCGCCTACGCGACTTAGCACACATTATAGGCCTTCTCTCTGCATCCATCCAGGCTATATTTCCAGGGCCTTTACACTACCGAGCAATGTAACGTTTGAAAACTTTCTACTTGCATCGCTCCACTTCCTACGACCAATTCATTTCTCTGACGGATGAGGTCCATATAGAACTCCACTGGTGGCTTAGCAATATGGAAGTCTGGAATGGAAGAGCAATCTTCGGATCGCAAACAGATTTCATCCTATAGTCAGATGCAAGTCTTTTGGGTCGGGGAGCGACTTGTTCCAAGCTTTTGAACGGAGGTCTCTGGTCCCCTTCGGAACAGGCACTTCATATCAATTGTCTCAAACTCATTGCAGGATGTTTTGCAATCCGCAGTTTTGCGAAAGACGCCTTCAATTGTTCACTGGTGTTAAGGATGGACAATATTTCGGCAGTACATTATATGAACTGGCTCGGAGGATACAGATCCAAACTACTTTCCGACCTCACAAAAGACCTTTACCAGTTCTGCCTGGACAGGAATCTTTCCATTCAAGTGGATTGTAGCTCTTTCCCTTCCCAGTAACTAGGCGACACATAGCTCTGGGAGTACAACTGATTTTATTTTGGCCACACATGGCTCTTATGCACAGACCCCTACATGGGGTCTCCAATACAATAATACAGGGCTTTTCCTACCAGGATCCTCTACAGAAAAATATACAATATTCTAAAACACCCCAAAATTAAATTTTAATAACTTTGAAACCCACGAAAGTAATATCACCAAATAGCTTGGATCTGAGCACACGCTTTGCCGAAATATCACTCAGATCCTTTCATTGGTTTCTTTCCCTTAGAGCTACAACATGAGCGCAGTGGGTGGGAAGGCAAAAAAAAGAACAAGTGCCGATACACAAGGTAGAGGCATGAGAGCCCTCTCCCACTGCGTCTCTCATCTGGAGGAGGTGTCACGGCAACGGTACATAATTCATTGTTGCACTATAGAATATTGCCATTTAGTTCATTTGTGTAGGCATATATGAACTGCTGCCTGGTAGAGGTGGTATTGTCAATTTCAAAAGGGGCTCATTTGATTGTATGGGAGCTTACAACCTAAATTCCTCTTTGAAGCTGGGACCCCAACAGAGCTACTCTGTAAGGTGTGAGAAGTCAAACATACGTGGCCTGGAAGTCTGGTTTCTGTATAAACTAACTCTCTCATGTGACAAATGTCTTGATTCCCTCTTAGATAATAAGCCCTTTAATATGAATAGTCGTTAGCCTTGTGTTCCAATATCATATCCAAAAGAGACACCAATACTTACCCACAGATTAATAATCAAGCCTCATCTTTATTATATTTAGAATGGGACAAGCACAATCTTCGAATCAAGGCTAAACATGATTTGCGAGCCTGGGGCACCCAGAGAAAGCTGTTAATGGCAGCTGGGCAGAGTAACTCCCAAACGGTGTCCAGGGGGCCGGCTTCTACACTCCTCCAGGAGTCTGTGGCAAACGTGCGTGGGAACGAGCATTTGTCACAGGACCTTTCACTGGGTCAGAACCCCAGAGAGTCCAGATAGTCATATTAACTCCATTATGGAGAGTCCAGACTTGGTTTTCCCTCTGCTGGAACTCTCTGTAGATTATCCCCTTCTTCTACCTTGAACTCTGGATATCCTCAAGAATCCAGTAGGCGACTGTCACCCACTCGCCTTAGAGGGCCATCTTCACCTCGTAGCTTGGACTATTTCAGAGAGACTTATAAAGGGAATGCATGGAATAGCCTTCCAGTGGAGGTGGTAGAGACTAATACAGTGAGTCCATGGAAAAGCCTTCCAGCAGAGATGGTAGAGACTAATACAGTGAGTCCATGGAAAAGCCTTCCAGCGGAGGTGGTAGATATTAATACAGTGAGTCCATGGTAAAGCCTTCCAGCAGAGATGGTAGAGACTAATACAGTGAGTGCATGGAAATATTAATAAAGTGAGTGCATGGAATAGCCTTCCAGTAGAGGTGGTAGATATTAATACAGTGAGTGCATAGAATAGCCTTTCAGCAGAGGTGGTAGAGACTAATACAGTGAGTGCATGGAATAGCCTTCCAGCAGAGGTGCTAGAGACTAATACAGTGAGTGCATGGAATAGCCTTCCAGCAGAGGTGGTAGAGACTAATACAGTGAGTGCATGGGGTAGCCTTCCAGCAGAGTTGGTAGAAGCTAATACAGTGAGTGCATGGAGTAGCTTTCCAGCATTGTTGGTAGAAGCTAATACAGTGAGCGCATGGAAATATTAATAAAGTGAGTGCATGGAATAGCCTTCCAGCAGAGGTGGTAGAGATTAATACAGTGAGTGCATAGAATAGCCTTCCAGCGGAGGTGGTAGAGATTAATACAGTGAGCGCATGGAAATATTAATACAGTGAGTGTATAGAATAAGTCAAAGTGGGATCGGTGCTAGAATGCCACAAAATTAAGGGGTATATATATTGAACTGGCAGCACACCTAAAAAAGGGGAGTACCCTCCAATCCCCTACAGATAATTAGAGATAAAGCAAAAAAACAAAGGGAAAGGTTAGCCTTTAATATGAATATTTTGTACACATAAAATAGTATGGTTCAAATAACTAGACACTAGTCCAGAATAATAAAGTCCACAATCATGAGGAAAATTCTTGTAGAGCAACGGTGATTCGTCACAAATGCAGACTTGTATTCTCAGTGGGACATATGGAAAAGAGGCAGAAAAACGGAAATCCAGTGGTGCAGTAGGTAAATATACTTGGATATAGAGAAGTATAAATAAGTACTACTCACAATTTCCAGAGCTACAATCCAGCTCTGGTATAAAATACGTGAAGTGGAATGATCCCCACACAAGGATATATGAAGTATGACTTGAAATGTAATAATCCAGCGATGGTTCCAGACGAAAATAAAAAGGATAAAATATATAGTGCTCACTGTATCTACTGTAGTAAAAGAATAAAAGGTATGGAATGTACTCACAATATATTGAGCAGGCCTTACTGTAGCGTATGGTGGTATAATCCCCACCTAAGGATTCTTTGGGCTTCTCTTAGGATGATGAAGAACAATGTCAGGCTTAATAATAAAATAATATAAGTAATAAGATAAAATAGGAAAGGAAAGTAGCAACCAAAATATTTTAGAGCCAAAGTTCCTTTATTTTTATACAAACTTATAAAAACTTTTTCTAGACGCGTTTCGCCTACAAAAGGCTTCTTCAAGTAGAAAATGGTAAAAACATAAACCTGACTTACATAGCTTGATATAGAATGCATTAATTGCATTGGAATTCAAATGTTCCCGCCAAAATGACGTCATTATAACCTTAATTAAAAAGTACACAACAAAGACGAACAATAATTATACAGACCATATTTAATATATTGGGAAGAATATTTATACATGTAACTATTAAAAACGAGGTGCTGGTATATTATAAATTGTGTAAGATAAAGATCACGTGACGCGTGGCTAATTCACTTCTACGTCACGTGGTTATCAATGAAATGCATGTGTCACATACAAGTGAGACGCGTTCGTATAGGAGGGAGGTCTGGAGTGGGGCCGTCACCAAAGGGGAGTAGCCCCATGGTGATCGGGAAGATAGACTGAGTGTGTGTTGGTGTGCTGTCTGCTCAGATGGTAGGGCAGACAGCACACACACACCATCCAAACGGGCCCCAGGTTCAGGACCTGAAGGGGGAGCCCACAACACAGACAGGCTCCCAATAAAGCACAACAAAGAGCCAGACTCCACATCCTAAAGACACACCGACCACGACCAACAATGACACAGAACCTTCAATTGTCACATTGGGAAACACAGCAAGAAAATGTATGCTTAATACATATTTAAAACTTGTAAAAATATATTAATAAATACATCAAAATATTCTTAAATATTATAAACAAAATAAAAATAAGTTAGATGCAGAATAAGATGCAAATTAAAAACAGAACAGATGGAAACATTTCTTTGATATAAAACCATAAAAGAATAGTATAAACATATATAAAATGTTAAAAAAATAAACATTTCAAAATTAAAAATAAACTGATCAAGGCTAGTAAAAATAGATAAATAGAACTTATAAAAAATTAAAAAGATCAAAATCTATATTCAGCCCTGTGGAGCAAGAGTCTTTAAATTAAATGCCCATTCCATTTCTTTACTGCCTAAAATCTTTTTGATATCTCCACCTCTCCAAGGTATCTATACCTATGCGCTTGAGAAATTTAGTTTTTTTTCCATGTTTTAAAAAGTGCTTTGATACTGAATGGTTCTCATAACCTTTTAGAATATTCCGGCAGTGTTCTGCCAATCTGGTTTTTAAGTCCCTAGTAGTCATACCCACGTATTGAAGCCCATATGGACATTCTAATAAATAAATTATGTTCTTTGTCTACAATGAATAAAATATTTTATGGGGTATGATCTTTATGTGATAGATGATTTAAAAGAAGTGGTTTTTGATCTAATAGTATCATCTGTACGTTTGCACACTATACATTTGTTACATTTAAAAAAACTTTAGGTTTGTTTAAAAAGGAGGGGAGGCAAAAGGAAGATGTAGTGTGGCTTTGTTTAGTGTAATTTCTTGTGAGGATGGATTTAAAGCTGGGTGCCCCTCTAAATATAACATGTGGTTTATCGGGAATAATACCAGCTAGAGTCTCATCCTGTTTTAATATATGCCAATGTTTGTTGATAATCTTCTTCATAACATTATTTTTGTTATTGAAGTCGAAGATAATTGGCAATGATGGGGCATTTTTGGAGATTTTGTTGTCTCCATACTCCAAGAGATCCAGTCTGTCTATTTCACTGACATTTTTTATAGTTTGGTTTAAGTTATTTATGGGATAGTTTTTTTGAGAGAATTTATTTAATAACATCTGAGATTGAGCCTCAAAATCTTGAGTAAGGGAACAGTTCCTTCGAAGACGGAGGAACTAACTCTTAGGTATTCCATGAAGCCAAGGTTTATTGTGGCAACTAGACATATCAATCACATTATTTGTACACACCTTTTTTATTAAAAGTTTTCGTATGTAGCTTATTGTTTTGAATAAAAAATTTCAAATCTAAAAAGTGGATAAGGGATTGACTATATTCACATGTTAAAACTATATCGCTATTATTTTGATTTAAAAAAAAGTAAAAACTGGTTAAGGGAGTTTTCAGTGTCCTCCCAAATAAAAACTAAATCATCCATATATCTAAAATATGTGACCAGGTTTGTCTGACAGTCATGCTCTCCCAAAATGGCCATAGATTCCCACTCTGCCATAAAAAGGTTAGCATAACTGGTGGCAAAACTGGTCCTCATAGCTGTCCCTTGTTTTTGTAAATAAAAGGAATCTAAAAACCAAAAATAATTATTTTTTAAAATAAAATTATACCTTGAATGATAAAACGTATCTGTTGGTCTGAAATTTTATTTTCTGCCCTTAGAATTTTTTCAACTGCTGAACAACCTTTATCGTGAGGAATGATTGTGTATAAGGATTGTACGTCACATGTAACTAAAAAATATGTATCTTTCCAAGTACAATTATTTAAAAACCGAAGTTTTAAGTACGATTTCATACATTTTACTGAAGGTTGTAAAAGAATATCTAAATATTTGGATAAATTGGATAAAATTGAATTAATCCCTGATACTATGGGCCTGCCAGGAGGGTTTACAGCATCTTTATGAATTTTCGGTAGGAAATAAATAACAGGGATTTTTGGGTGAGAAACATTTAAAAATTAAAATTCTTGTTTATTTATAATATTTTGGTCTCGGCCGCTGTTTAGGAAGGAAATTAAAACCTGTTGAATTCTTGAGGTCGGGTCTTGTGATAATTTTTCGTAAACCTTGCAATCATTAAGTTGTCTCATAGCTTCTCCCACATACATATCATTAGACAATATTACAATCCCTCCACCTTTGTCGGTCGGCTTTATAACAATGTTTTCATCTTTTTGTAATTGTAGAAGTGCCTTTCGTTCTAGTTGTGTGAGGTTATCTCGATTAAATTTATCCTTTTGGATTTTTTCAAAGTCTTTTGTAACCAATTTTTCAAAAACTTCTAAGGGACCTGTTTTAAAACCAGATGGAAAGAATGTAGAATTCTTTCTTAAAGAGGTAGATATTAAATTAGGATATTCTTCTAATGAGGAAGCTGGAGGTTGTGGAGTAGATACTTCTAGGTTCTTATTGGTAAAGAATCTTTTAAGAGTAGCCTTCCTTACGAATTTATTTATATCTATAAATGCCTTAAATGGTTTGTAAGGATTCGTTGGGGCGAATTTAAGTCCTTTACTGAGGACTGATATTTGTGTAGATGTTAAAGCTTTTTGAGATAAATTAAAAATGCCAAGTTCCTTCTCATCTAAAGGAGTTATTGTCGGTCTAGCCTTTCTCATTTGTGTTCTTCTCCCACTTCTCCTTCCTCTAAACTTAGACTCCTTTTTCTCGTTTTTATAGGATGTGGTGTTTGTGCATGGGTATTGTTTTGGGTGCATAATTCTAAAAAATAATAGTCATTGTCTGATTCAGAATCTATAGATGGCATTTGATATCTATTTTTGACAGGTGACTTAGTGCTTTCCAAGTGTCTATGTGCATATCTTGGTCTCTGAGTTTTGATACGTCCCCGGGGAGTATGGTGTATTATCAGTGTGCTTTTGGTGATTAGAGGATGTAGGGAAAGAATTGTGGTATTCTTGTGCTGAATAAGAGAGTGTCTTGGTTGAATTTGCTAATTGTTATTAGATCGAGTGATATGTGATCTATTCTGGTTGTGATGAAGTGATGAAGTGAAAGAGTTTTTTTTCTGACGGGGTGATATTGTGTATCTTTCCCTGAAGGGTAGTTGGAATGTGGCTTGGATATATCGCTGTTTAGATATGTATTAGAGGATTGATAAGTGGTGGTGTTAAAGTTGTTTCTTTTGTTTAGATGGAAGTAGCGGATCTGGTTGTTGGAATAATCATGTTTATCCCGAATATATTTTTTTACCTTAATATGCTTTGTATCCATCTCAACTTTCTCTATTTTATTTTGGAAAAGGATAGAGTTTTGTTTGAAGACTTGTGTCTCTGTAAATTATGACATTTTATATGGAGTGTATGGAATAGCCTTCCAACGGAGGTGGTGGAGACTAATACAGTGAGTGCATAGAATAGCCTTCCAGCGGAGGTGGTGCAGACTAATACAGTGAGTGCATGGAATAGCCTTCCAGCAGAGGTGGTAGATATTAATACAGTGAGTGCATGGAATAGCCTTCCAGGGGAGGTGGTAGATATTAATACAGTGAGTGCATAGAATAGCCTTCCAGCAGAGGTGGTAGAGACTAATAAAGTGAGTGCATGGAATAACCTTCCAGCAGAGGTGGTAGATATTAATACAGTGAGTGTATGGAATAGCCTTCCAGCAGAGGTGGTAGAGACTAATACAGTGAGTGCATGGAATAGCCTTCCAGCAGAGGTGATAGATATTAATACAGTGAGTGCATGGAATAGCCTTCCAGCAGAGGTGGTAGAGACTAATACAGTGAGTGCATGGAATAGCCTTCCAGCAGAGGTGATAGATATTAATACAGTGAGTGCATGGAATAGCCTTCCAGGGGAGGTGGTAGATATTAATACAGTGAGTGCATAGAATAGCCTTCCAGCAGAGGTGGTAGAGACTAATACAGTGAGTGCATGGAATAGCCTTCCAGCAGAGGTGGTGGAGACTAATACAGTGAATGCATAGAATAGCCTTCCAGCAGAGGTGGTAGAGACTAATACAGTGAGTGCATGGAATAGCGTTCCAGCAGAGGTGGTAGAGACTAATTCAGTGTGTGTATGGAATAGCCTTCCAGCAGAGGTGGTAGAGACTAATACAGTGAGTGCATGGAATGGCCTTCCAGCAGAGGTGATAGAGTGGGACAAAGCAAGTTACAGATAGGGAATGGGCTTATTATGATGAGCTGTTATAAATGTTTTCAAATTTTTTTGTAATATATATATATCTGTTTTTTTTAATGGTTTTATTTATAGAAAATCGTATCGCATTGTAACATGTAGCTTTTTGTACAATAATCGTACAACAAAGTTAACAATGAGAATGCATTTGAGACAGAATGGCCACACATTGTTAGTACATTGCAAGGTAAAGCATCACAGTAACTTTATATTGATTATTGGTGATTAGAAGATTAAGGCTGACCACCTAGCGTATATTGTGCGTTCGGCATGACCGGTGTAGGCATATACTCTATTTATTAATGCAGAGAAGCCAGTATGATAAATCATATAGCTAAACACTGACCACGTGATCAGCTGTTTTAGCAACTACAGTATAAATCTATTTGTCATGTCTTAGCGTTTTATGTTCTGAAAATAAGTTAAGTTTTATTTATATATTTACTATAATTTAGTTGTAATTATTTTATGATAATATAATAATATATTATTAGTCTTTAGATTAAATTAATATTGCTATTATTATTATATTATTATTAATAATATTATTTTTCTGGCTAAACATGGCAGCATCACTGATGGGCAGTTCCTCCCTTGCTAAGAAACAGGAATGATTAATTAAACAATGAACAATTGATAAATTCCCACTCCTCTCGGAGCTGCCCAGTCTATGCTAGTCCTGCCTTGCTCTTTGTTTATTTGTTGGTGATATAGTGCGTTGTTCCAGCTGGTATCAAGATGGCCACGGCGTCCATGTATTCCTGGAGTTTTTGCGCATGCGAAATAAGCGGTGCATGCGTGGACTCGTTAAAATCCTTAAAAAGGCGCAGAAACGTAAAATGTTAAACAGACAGTGTTTCATTTTGCTTTAGGTGCCTGTTGGACCTTTGTGCTGCCTTGGCCCCTGTCCTGTTCATTTCAGGTATGACATTGTTTATGTATTGTTTGTTCAATCGGTTTTACGTTTAACTTGTAGGTTATTTATTCGATTATTCTCTTTTCTACAGGATGGCTTCTTCCCCCACCTCCCCTGCTTGTGATTATAGAAGAAACAGGTGAGTCCTGTGTTTGGGGGAGCACAAGAGTGCAGTGATGGCGTAAATGTTTTTTAATACATTGCCCGGTTATTTCAGCCCTAGATTATCAGAAGACGCTTCAACAAGGAAGAAGAAGCAAAAGTCCCATCTCTGCTCGGGCTGTGGTTCTAAAGCCTGGAGAGAAAAGAACCTATGTTTCCAACGCTTGGAAGAAGTGGCAGAAGGACAGTCTGAGAGGAGCTCCACGCAAGTGGATTTAAAAAGAATGGATTTCCCAGACTGTTGAGGAAGGCTTCCAATTTGCTTTCAGGAGTTCTACTGAAAGAAGGAGAGCTAGTCGGTCCCTAGGCTCTGCTCATGTACTTCCTCTAGGATTCAGAGGAGGAAGAAGATTATCACGAGTCACGGAACAAATCTATTGAATCTATCGAAAGGTGGATAAATGAATAGACTTGGTCAGATATACCCTAAAAATTCTGGAAGAGAAGGCAGAAACGTCGGCATCTATTTTCAAGATTTCAAGACTTCTAAAACTACTTGTCCAATACCTACCTGTCACGATTAAAAAACGAATCCAGTCAGAATGGACAAAACCAGAAAAAAAGTTGTCCTTTCAATCCAAGGCAACAAAAATGTATCCCTTTTGTCCAAATGAGTCTAAATCATGAGGTACAGACCCTAAGGTAAATGTCGCCTGTTAAGACACTCTCAGCTTAAATGAGTGAAACCGCCGTTAAGGTGATCTTCCCCCTTTTTAGACACAGGCTCTGCTGCTGTGGACCGCCAAACTCCCGAACGGAGTATAAGGGAATACTGCAAACTCCTGAACGGAGAATCAGCCGAACTCCTCCTCTCCTAGAATAGGCAAAATAATACTTCCAAGTAGCAATCCCCCCAAACACGAGACCAAGCTCCGTCTTGAGGGTAAAACAGGAATCTGCTTTAATGAGTGCTACCTGCCCGGTATTTATGCAGGTCTCCCACCTGGTGGACACTCCCCTAGGGGACCAAATAGGAGACTGGGACACAGAATATACAGTAGCCAATCACAGTGGCTCAACGCTAAACACTCCCCTTTGCACAAGTAAATCCCTCCTCTCTATCCTGGAGATAATTGGGAAGAAATCCAATTATCTCCAGGGATAGAGGCAAATCGGCATTTTACATAGTATAATAAAAACAAATAAAAATCCATAATTATAAAACTACCGAATGCTTTTAGTTCGTGTAACGTATCCCCAGATAGCCTGGGTCTGAGCGCACATAACTACCGAATAGCGCTCAGACCCAATGCACACAGTTCAATCACCATGGAGTCAAAGTCTTTCACATTGTTCTTTCGGTATGCGATTGACTCCATGGGATGACTATCTGGGTTACGTCCATTCGTGCAGTAAAAGTCCCGAACGGACCGGAGTTCGCATGCCTGGGGATAAGAAGGGCGGTCAGCAGTTTCAGCAGTGTTCGGTAGAAAGAGTGTCCATTTTTAGTTCCATAGTTTGAGTGCCGAACACTGCTGTGCATTCGCGTGTTTAAAAAGGCCGCCGCCTCATGGTCGACATGTGAACGACGACCACCCTGCATACGGTTAGAATGAAGAGGTGTCTGCGGTTAACCACAACGTTCTAATTGAGGCCAATAGGTTAACCAGCAGCACACTTCTCTTCTGGGTGTCCGTCCATTCGGTAGTTTTATTCGGTATATTTTGCAATAAACGAACAGGGGCGTACGGACAGGTAATTCCATGAATGTAGACAAAATAGACAAACCAACAAAATAGAATCTAGACAGATGGCTTTGTCACATCGCCGTCATAAGATTGGCAAAGAAGACAACTGCTCATTGACAACATGGCATACCTGAAGGACCTATGCAGAAAAGATTGAACTCAGAACTGGTAAAAACATATCAGGCTTGTGGGTCTGTCCTCCACAGAGGGTACTCTTATGTCTCCAGAGTATTAGAAGTGTGAATTGAAAATCTGCAAGAAGACATTGCTAGTGAAGTTAGTAGAGACCGTCTCCAAGACTCACTCAAAGACTTCCAGTTAGCCTCAGATTTTTTTTTTTTTGTTGAAGCTTCTCTTGATATCTCCAAGGTCTTGGCCAAAAGCATTATCAATGGCCTCTAGATTTTCCCAGTCCTAAGTCTCCACAAAAATCTGTAGGTGGATTTAACTCCCCATTATTGGTCACAGTGTCTACCTGCTCCACTGAATATCAATCTGACTCCACGAGAGGATTGGTGGCTTCCTGTGCTTCCTGGGCTTCTAGGGCAGAGGTGCCGGTAGAGGAGATATGTAAGACAGGTCTTCACACCCCACGTTTATCAAGCACAATAAACCTGAACTTGCTTCCTCAGAAAATGATAATTGTGGAAGATGTATTCTTCATGCAGTCATTTTATTTTCCTGTAACCTGGCAGCCTCCCACTCCCTCCTTTCTGGGTTGATTTAGATACAACTTATTAACAGACTGGGGAGCTATGAGAGAAGTGGGCTTCTACCACCTGTTAATCGTTAAAGGACACTATAGTCATCAGAACAACAACAGCTTAATGTACAGTATACAGCTTATTAAATAGTACAGCTTAATGTATGGTATACAGCTTAATATATAATATGCAGCTTAATGTACGGAATACAGCTTAATGTATAATATACAGCTTAATGTACGGTATACAGCTTAATGTGTAATATACAGCTTAATGTACAGTATACAGCTTATTAAATAGTACAGCTTAATGTACGGTATACAGCTTAATGTATAGTATATGTGGCGAAAGGGACCTCGCCACTGGTTTTTGGAGGGGACTGATTGCCAGCCTCGTGCCTTGGGACTATGGCCCCTGGGAGATTGGGCACGTTAAAAACAGCATTTGGGGCTTACTGTGTATGGCTCTTGTTAAACTTAAACCCCATGGCGAGTTTATTCTGTTCGTGGGATCTGAGCGCTGTTCGGATATATTGAGCGCTCAGATCCAAGCTATCTGGGGATTTTATGTGTTTTTACTGTTGTTTTCTGTATGCTGGAGATAATTGGCTAACAACACCCAAGCCATGCTTGCAGTTGGTCAAAAAGGGATTTCCAACTAACTTTTGAACCACTGGACCAATTTGTATAATTTTGACATATGTTTGTATTTGGAGCATGCTGATTCTGAAAATGTTTATGTGAATGTGATGTATACTTTTAAAGTTATGAATATTCTGTAAAATTTTCTATTTTCTTGCCTGTGATAATTACGTTAGCCCATTGTATTCAGTAATTATATCACAGGCAGAGGGGAGAATTTTGTGTGTAATTGCTGGGAGTGTCTGAGTGTATTGTACGTATTGATTGGTTGTTCTGCAAAACCCTGTGGGCAGTACTATGTGTGTAAAATGTGCATAAAAGCCGAGTGTTGGATTAAAGCTTCAGTTCTACTTCAACCTCAATTTGGAATTCCGTCTCTTATTGGGGGAATCTGCTACAAGGGATTGCTATGCTCCGCATATTCCCTTGCTATAATCACTCCTAAGCTCTTTTAAGAGGTGGTTCCTGCTTTGCTCTGAAAGAAGAAAGGTTCTGTGGCAAACCTAGCCACTTGTGGGACGCTGAACTATATGTACCAAAAGATTGTCTGCCATAACCGCTGAATTATGTATTGTAACCTAGGTTTGTAGTGCTATGTGTATAGAATTCGTATGCTAGCAGCTGAAAGCCGCTAGCATTCATGTATGTCGTTACACGAACAGCGACTTTACTGGCTGTTCGTGAAACGAATGAGCTACCCCCCAGTAGCCCACACATAGAGAGACGTGTGGCACTCATTAACCAATTGCAACATTGTTGCAATCGGTAGTTAAAGACTTTCCTAGGTGGCCGTCGTTCGGCTACTGACCACGCGGCCAGGGCCGGATTAACAAAGGGGCTGATGGAGCTGCAGCTCCAGGACCAGGACCATGGAATAGGCCCATTGATTTAAAAATAAATAAATAAATAAAAAATTTACATTTTTTTTTCACACACTACTCTTAGGGATTCCACCTGGCTTTTATTTTATTGGCACAGCCAGTATTTGAGGCTGCCTGGCTGGTGCCAATATTGCAGTGATACTGGCAATACAAATGCTGGTATTTTTCTCAGTATAAACTCTATATTACTATATTACTCTGCAATACCAGCACCGGCCAGTAGGGGTCACTGTGTGTGTGGAGACAGGCAGGGATAGGAAGTTCCAGCATATCCCTCCCTGCCTATCTATACTCACTGATCTGCAGGGGTGCAGCTACAGAGAGTTCAGACAGCAATTCCCACCCTGCAGAGACAGCCTACAGCTCAGGGAAGTAAGGGATGGGGGAAAGGCTGCAAGGAGACATACACTGAGACACTAAGGGACATTGGGAGATATTATGACACAGACACATGGGGACACAGTGTTCCCATGTCTCCCAGCCAGTGTCCCTGGTGTCTCAGTGCCCCCTAGTCTCCCAGTGCCCCCAGTCTGCCAGTGTCTCACTGTCCCCATGTCTCCTAGTGCTCCCATGTCTCCCAGTGCCCCCATGTGTCGATTACTCCAGGTCTCAGTGTTCCTATGTATCAGTGTCTCAGTGCCACATGTCTCCCAGTGTCCCCTAGTGTCATGTCCCCAGGTGTCCCAGTGATCCTATGTATCACAGTGTCTCAATATCCCATGTCTCCCTGTGTCCCCATGTATCCCAGGGTCCCCATGTCACTAGGACACTAGGAAGACGGGGAGACCTGGGGACACGGGGAGACCTAGGGACACGGAGACACCAGTGACACTGGGAGACTAGGGCCTCTGGCTGGGACATGGGGGCACTGGGAGGAATCCATCTATACAGCAGAATCAAACTAAGTAGTTTTTTGGTGATTTTACAGCATTTTCTCTTATGTCACTTGTAACGGACCGTTTTGCACACAAGGGGTAAAAACCGTTTAGGCGATCGGCCCCCTTTCCAGAGATCCAGGCACAGCTACTGCAGAACACCAAAACTCACGAACTGGATACAAAATAGCACTCCAACTCCCGAACTGGAACCTCCCAAATAGCTGCTAGTAGACGAACAGGAAAAGCAGACGAACAGCTTACACTCCTGGCAATCAGTCTCTAACAGCATACAGTGAATCCCCCCAAGAACGAGACAAGGCTCCGTGTTGAGGGTCAAGCAGTGGTCTGAGGTGCTGGCACACCCAGCCTGGTTTTTATTACAGTCTTGCAAATACAGGACCGCCCACAGGGAGGTATAAAACAACCAATCACATCACAGTTACATGCCACATATTCCCTCCCCTTATCCTGAGAGGAAACTCAATTATACATACAGTTAAAACATACTTTCTACCCAACTTTCATAACTCCAAAACCATACATCACATTCACATAAAATTACATATTCACAATCAATCCATTCAGGGGAACAACATATTCAAAAATGGCACAAATCA